TGACTTGGGTCGTGATCCCGAGGTCCTGGGATCGAGTCCCACATTGGCCTCCCTGCAGGGAGCCTGCATCTCCCTCTGCCTGTGTTTCTGCCTCTTCTCTTTCGGTGTCTCTCATGAATAAATAAATAAAATCTTTATTTTAAATTTTTTTTTAATTTATGATAGTCATACAGTGAGAGAGAGAGAGAGAGAGAGAGGCAGAGACACAGGCAGAGGGAGAAGCAGGCTCCATGCACCGGGAGCCCGACGTGGGATTCAATCCCGGGTCTCCAGGATCACGCCATGGGCCAAAGGCAGGCGCCAAACCGCTGCGCCACCCAGGGATCCCCCTAAATAAAATCTTTAAAAAAAAAAAAGGAACCTGAATCTTTATTATGTGCCTCTAGGTGATTCAATGCAGATGATCCAGTGATCTTTTGACTTGAGGTAAGACAGTATAGCGTTTAGGAGCTCAAGGTCTGGGACACCTGGGTGCCTCAGCAGTTGGGCGCCTGCGTTAGCCGGTCCTGGAGACCTGGAATTGAGTCCCACATGGGGCTCCCTGCATGGAGTCTGCTTCTCCCTCTGCCTGTGTCTCTGCCTCTCTCTCTGTCTCTCATGAATTAAATAAATCCCTATTAAAAAAAAAAAAAGAGCTCAAGATCTGGAGTTATACTATTTGGGTTTGAACCCTGGCTCCGTTCCTAGATTTATGACCTTGGACAAATGATATAATCTCTGTGCCTCCGTTTCCTCATCTTTAAAATAAGGATGCTTGGGATCCCTGGGTGGCGCAGCAGTTTGGCGCCTGCCTTTGGCCCAGGGCGTGATCCTGGAGACCCGGGATCGAATCCCACGTCAGGCTCCTGGTGTATGGAGCCTGCTTCTTCTGTCTGTGTCTCTGCCTCTCTCTCTCTCTCTGTGTGACTATCATAAATAAATAAAAATTTAGGGATCCCTGGGTGGCGCAGCGGTTTGGCGCCTGCCTTTGGCCCAGGGCGCGATCCTGGGGACCCGGGATCGAGTCCCACATCGGGCTCCCGGTGCATGGAGCCTGTTTCACCCTCTGCCTGTGTCTCTGCCTCTCTCTCTCACTGTGTGCCTATCATAAATAAAAAAAAATTTTTTTTAATAAATAAATAAATAAAAATTTAAAAAAATAAAAAATAAATAAATAATAAAAATAAAATAAGGATGCTTATAATAGTAGCTTTCTCATAAGGAAGCTGCAAAGATTCAATGACACAATTTATGCAAAGCACATAACACATACATGGCACATGTTAATTTCTCAGTGAGTATTAACCACTATTATTTGTTCCAATTCCTCATTCCCATCCCCACCCCCACTCCCACCAGAGGAAGAAATAATGGTATTGGATTAACACAGGAACTTGTCTTCACAGGATTGTTTTGGATGTGATTGATCCAAAACCATTCTCCCTTCCACCCCATCATTCTTCCGATGCTCTTGCTGTGGACTGAGCTTCTTCCAATGAAATACTCTGCCTTTCTCATCTTCCTTTCTCCATGCTCCTCTCAGATGGCACACCACCCCATCCAAAGTGATTTGGCTCAGGATGTGTCCTGGAAAGTAAAAACATACAGCAAGTCAGTTGTGGAGCTGCATAGGCCCCTGGATTCCTGAAGAAGATCACAGAATTTGGTGCTCTGGGACTTAGTAAACTTTTCAGGCAGAAAGGAATTGAAACTCCTGCTTACCCAGGTTCTAACCAAGGAAACAAGCTAGCTGTCTTCCTGGGAAATTGAGACATCCTATGCCAAAGCATGGTTGAAGCCCAGGATGAGTGCGTTCTGCATAAATTCTTGCACATCCAAGTCTGGATGGTATCTCCAAGGGACCACAAACAGATGAAGTGGAACAGGTGAGGATTGGATGAAATAATCTAACCAAGAACACAAAAGGAAAAGAGAGGAAGTAAACGTTAAACACAACCATGGTGGCTATAGTTTTTGAGGTCCAGGGGCCATTGCTAACCTGGGAGGCAGAGAAAGGCAGGTTCAGCTCTCTGAGTGGCTCAATCCTTCCAGTCACTCAGCCCTCCAGGGAAGCACTGCTTCCAGCCTTCCTCTCTCCTCCCAGTGCAGCGTAAATGGACACCCTCTGGGATGTGCTGGAGAGAGGGGTGGAGAAATTCTGCCTGGAGGGAGAACTGGCAAATCTGGGCTTGACTCCAGCTTGGCCAACAGTGTCCTTGCCAGCTGGTGCTCCTCAGAGCTACCTGCCCTAAAGCAGAGTTGTATCTAGCCTTTCAAAATCCACCTATTGATGTGGAGAAAGGGGAACCCTCTTGCACTGTTGGTGGGACTCTAGGAAACAGCCACTCTAGGAAACAGTACAGAGGTTCCTCAAAAAGTTAAAAATAGAACTACCTTATGATCCAGCAGTCACACTACTAGGTATTTACCCAGAGAATACAAACATAACAAGTCAAAGGGATACATGCACCCCAATATTTACAGCAACATTATCCACAATAGTCAAATTATGGAAATAGCCCAAGTGCCCATTAATTGATGAATGGATAAAGATGTGAGATATAGGTATATATATATATATATATATATATATATATATATATATATTCTATTACATATATGTAATAGAATTTTACTCAGCCATAAAAAAGAATGAAATCTTGCCATTTGTAATAGCATGATGGAGCTAGAGAGTACTGTGCTAGGCAAAATAACTCAGAGAAAGACAAATACTATATGATTTCACTCTTGTAGAATTTAAGAAACAAAACAAGCAAAGGGGAAAAAAGAGAAGCAAACCAAGAAACAGACTTTTAACTATAGGTAACAAAAACCAACGGTTATCAGAGGGAAGGTGGGGGATGGGTGAAATAGGGGGTAGGGATTAAGAAGTGCACTTGTGATGAGCACAGGTGTTATATGGAAGTGCTGAATCACTCTAACTGTACACCTGAAAGTAATATTACACTGTATGTTCACTAACTGAATTTAAATAAAAACCTAAAAAAAATCTTTGGTCAAGGGCAGTCTATGCCACATCACACATGCAACCTTCAGACAACACATGCACACAGACATGCACACAGACCTACACACACACTCTAGGGTTGCTAGATAAAATAGAGGCCACCAAATTAAACTTGAATTTCATATTAACAATTAATCTTTTTTTTTTGTCTAAGTATGTCCCAAATGTTGCATTAGTACATACTTATTCTAAAAAATTATTTGTCGTTAATCTGGTGCTCAAATTTAACAGGACATCCTGTATTTTTATTTGCTAAATCTAGAAACGCTACCCCACCAGCTTCAGAATCTCCCTCCTCCCTTAGCTCAGGGCAGGACTTTGCTTGAACCTGCAGCCTGTCACAGTTCTGTCCTTACTTGAGAACCTTCGTTCCAGTCTGCCCTGCTAGACTGAAAGCTCTCTGAGGGGAAGGCCCAGGCCTTGCCCACCATCTGTGGGCCTCCGTTCCAGGCAAGGACGTTCCTCACGATGTGCACAAGGGCATGGGCGGAGAAGGGGCATGGATGGACTAACAGATCCATTACAACTCTATGCCCACTGGAGGGCCCTGGCGCAGGCGGGGCGAAGGCCACTTTTTATTCACTGGCCTGCGCCCCAGATGCGCCCGTTTCTAATTGGTTCGCCCAGGAGGAGTGTCCCCTTTTCATTGGTCGGCTGGGAGGTGGGCGGGGCCTATTTCCAATTAGACCCCCGTAGGGACCCTCTTTCAAAATCTGCCCGAGGAAAGAGGTGCCTTTTAGACATTCCTCCACCAGACAGACACCTTTTTTTTTTTAATAACACAAAAACCTTCTGTGTGCTACTGAGGCTTTAAACCTTAGGAAAGGAACACTGCAATACATTTGCTCAGCACCTTAGACATTCCAAACTACTTTAGACTATGAACTCAGGGGATCCGCACAAACAGTCCCCCAGAGGTCAGTATCATTGCGCCGTTTAAATTACACAGATTAGCAAATTGAGACCAGAAGAGGGAGAGCACCCCGCTCACAGTCACCAAAGCAATTAATGAAAACAGTTTACTTTTGTTCAGTGTGAGTTTAGCGCAGGCTCTCACATAAATATCGTTTCATTCCCCCTTTGCTAAGGACTCTGTGGAATACATAAAGCCAAGCACTTTACACTCATTTTCTCTTTTAATCTTCATGCACCTCTGAGAACTAAATGTAATCTGCTCTCATTTTATTGATGAGGAAACTGAAGCTCGAAGTGGTTAAATCTTTTGCCAAAAGTCACGAAGCTGCAGCCTACCACTTATTAATTGCATACTGCACGATGTCAGGTACAGTGCTCAGTTACTTACAGACATTATTCCCTCCTTTAATGCTCCCTAAACCACATGATATTGGTATTCTTATTATCGACATTTAGTAATGAGAAAAATATGTTCAGAGGGACGTCTGGTGGCTCAGTAGTTGAGCATCTGCCTTGTGCTCAGGGCGAGATCCGGGTCCTGGAATCAAGTCTCACGTCGGGCTCCCCGCAGGGGGCCTGCTTCTCCCTCTGCCTGTGTCTCTGCCTCTCTGGGGTATCCTTCATGAATAAATAAATAAAACCTTTAAAAGAAAAGAAAAATATGTTCAGAGAGGGTGAGTGACTTGCCCAAGACCACACAACCAGCAAGTAACTGAAGCAGGATTCACCGGCTAGTAAAGAAACAGATCTAGAACTCAAACCCAATCCTTCTGACCCCAGCCCAGGGCCTAGCTCCCTGCCAGCCCGGCTGAAATGATCAGCGACCCTCAGGTCGGCCAGGACCCTCCCTGATGGAAGTCTTAGGTAGCCCTTCTTCCCCCGCCCTCCCGGGAGCGACCCGGATCAACTGGAGGTGGCCGGCGAGAGGGAGGGTGGGCAGGGCGGCGGCGGGCACCCGGCCAGGCGGTGCAGCCTGCGGAAGAGGCTCCGGGACAGCGGCGCGTTCCAGCGGCGGAGCCGAGTGGGTGGGGCCGGAGTGCCCGGCCCCCGCCCCTCCTGCCTCCCTTCCTCCTTTGCCTTCCCGGTCCCGGGGCAGACGACCCGCAGGCAGGCGCTGCTCCACCCCGGGCCGGCTCCCGGCGAAGCGCCCGGCGGGGCCGCCCTGCGCACGGAGCCGGGGCACCCGCGAGTCCCCGGCGCCTCCCGCTCCGCGCAGGGGCGGCGCAGGGCTGGAGCATCCGCGGGGCCCCGGGCGCCGCTGACCGCCTGGAGCAGCCCGGCGCGCGGGGCCTGCCCACGGGTCCCGCGCCCCGCGTCGGCAGCGGGGTGGATATGGCTGCGCGTGTGGGCCTCCTGCTGCGCGCCCTGTGGCTGCTGCTGGGGGGCGGCCTGGACGCCCAGCTCGCCGAGCGCGGAGGCCAGGAGCTGCGCCGGGAGGCGGAGGTAACGGAGGCGTGAGGGGCGGCGAGCGGGGCGCGAGCCGGGGACCCTCCGGAACTTTGCAGGCAGGTCAGCCAGCCTCTCCTCCGAGCTGGCAACGTGCGTCACCCTCTCCCGCTGCTCACACAAAGCCTGGGGCGCGTTCTCCCCGGCCGGAGCTGGGACCACACAGGCGCGCGGATCTATCTGCCTTGACTTTCCCGGACGGGGGAAGGAGGAAGCGACCAGGTGGGACAGGCGGGCAACAGCTGGGAGAGAGGTAGCCCCGGCACCCCAGCTAGGCACAGAGCTGCTCTGCGGTCCCTCGCCGCGTAGGCTGCGGAGACTTGGCAGCATTCGTCGGGTGCCCCGAGCCCTCGCAGAGGCTGCAGAGCACCCCCCCCCCCAGATCGGTGAGGTGGACAGCTTGTCACCGGCAAGCGGGGACACAGGAGACAGCACTGGCTTCCTGGGCTGGTGCTGCCGCGCGACCAGCTTGAACAAGTCAGCGTCCAAGCTCGGGACTGGTTTCTTAACCTGTAAAATGGGTGAGAGTATTTTAGTCTCAAGAACTGCTTCTAAGGAGCTTTGGAGCAGTGCTTCGGGACCGGACTTGAGAAAGGGCAGGAACGTGGAGGTGAACCTTAATTTAAAACTTCTCCTTTCATTTTCATCATTAGGACTAGGGTCACCACTATTTTAAGGAGAAGTTCTAAATTCCTCAGCCCGGTGCCCTGCCCTGAGAAAGACTCTTGCTCCCTAAGAGCTTCATTCCTGATCTAAAACTCCCAGTCAGGAACGTCTCAGTACCCTCCCATTCCCCTTCCCTAGAAGAGGCATGCTGGATCTAAGAAACCTCCAGAATGAAGAAGCCCCCACCGAATGGCTCTTCCTTCCATCAGCCAGCTCCCATCACTATTCTGGAATATTTGGAAATAACCTTGTTTCAACAACGAGGTGCCCCCTCTCCCATTCCAAGCGCTGGGCTCTTGTTTTGTGCTCTCTGCTTCTGCACATTTGGGAATCGCTGTTTCACTGAATTTAGAATCTTACAACATCAAGTGTACAGTCCTCATGGCCCCAGGAGAAGGCTTCTGTCTACCAAGCCAAGTCCTATTAAGAGTCCCGTACCACCTCCCCCCAAGTCTGGGTCCCAGGCAATCCTTGGCAGGAGAACAGAGACAATATCTCTGCCGCCCATGCCTGTGGTGGCCCCAGATGGAGAGAATTTAATCTTGGGGTGTGCTCGGGAAACATAATACTAAGCAGATTGAGTCTCTTGCAGTCTATTTAACAATATTGGGGGAAGGGGAGTTTTTACCTCTGAGAACAGGACATATTTTAAAAGTATAAAACACTCTGGAAATGTGGATGTGTTTCTATATGCCTATGCATGTACATATGTACGTATATGCAAATTGGGGGTGTTAGTATGTCTACATGTGCTTCTGTAAATGGCTAATTGCAAGAACTTCAGTATCAGACAGATGTGTGTGCAAACCAAAAGTGAATCATTTAATCTCTCTGAACCTCAGTTTTCTTCTCTGTACAACAGAGGTTACAAATGCTTGTTTCATAAGACCGTTGTGGGTTTCATGGAGATAATGCATATAAAACACTCAGCACAGTGCCTGCTATGTAGAACACAGTCTATAAAAGGAAATTGCTCTCAATATTCTTCTCATTATTATCTGTATCATTATTTTAGGGAACTGAGCTTCAGATTAAAAGTTCTGACCTGATCAGGGCACTTGGGTGGCTCAGTCAGTTAAGCATCTGACTTCCACTCAGGTCATGAGCTTGGAATCCTGGGATCAAGCCCTGCTCAGCAGGGAATCTGCTTATTTCTCTGCCCCTCTCCTCACTCATGCTCACTCACTCTCTCTCTCAAATACATAAAAATCTTCAAAAAAAAAAAAGTACTAGCTCAGTGACTAGCTCTCCTAAAACAATAATACAGGACAAAATATGCTAGAAAACTATTTTCAGCATTCGACAACAGGAGGCACAGAGCTATAATTCCTAGGAGATGGTGTTGCAGTTACTATGGCTACATTATAAATTACCCCAGAACTTAGCGAAGTAGCACAAACATTTATTATGTGCATAGATACTATGTGTCAGGATTTCAAACAGGGCACATCAGGGCAGTGTGTCTCTACAATGTTCAGGGTTGGAATCATCTGGCTGTCAGGGGCAGGGGGGGCACCATTCTCTCCTATGGGCCTATCCACGTGGTTTCTCCATATCGGCTAGTTTGGTCCCAAATTTGGTAGTTGGGTCTCTAGAATGAGTATTCCAAAAGAGAGAGAGAGAATGAGAGAGAGAGGGCAAGCAGAAGTCAAATCCTCTTTAGGACTGAGACTAGGGAGTGTCATAGCATCACTTCTGCTATACCACATTGGCTGGAGCAGTCACCAGCTCCAAGTCAAGGGGAGGGAACATAACCCCCACAATCAATGGCAGGAGTGTTGAAGTCACTATAAGAAGAGCATGGGAATGGGAGATGTTATTGTGGTCATTTAGGGAAATGCAACCATCCACAGAAGGGAATCACAAAGTGAGCCCAGTGATCACCCTGGCTCTTTGCTCAGGTGTGATTCCTTGACTCCAGTGCAGAGAGCTAGACCCCCAGTAAAGCACAGCACTCCTGCTGAGCTCGTGGGTAAAGTTCAGAGTTCAGGACTGAGAAGGAAAGAAAGAATAAAAATAAGCTGTGTGATTTTAAGCTAGTCCCCTCACTGCGGCAGGCTACAGTTTCCTCCTCTGTAAAATAATGGAGTCAACTTCTTAAATGACTCTCTTAGTGCTAACCTTCTTTGGCTCTGGTGTGTTTGTATGCCGGTGCCTGCGTGTGTCTGTGTTCCCATGTCTCCCCGTTTGTATCTCTGTGCCCTGTGTGCATGGCTATATGTGTCCCTTATGTGCATACAAAATAATAAAGTTGAGGGTTTTCCAAAGTGGGCTTTGCCTGGGAGGAGACTGACCACTTACAAAAGCTGCATTATGAACAAGTTCATTGTTGCCCACTTGGGAAAACCAGTGCTGCTCATGATACTAGTGAGTAGGAAGGGCCTCCACTGCTGAGCTACAAGATTGAGAGTTAATGAATGACATCATCACCTTGGCCCCCCTCCTGTTTGCAACCAGGCCCTGTCCTGTTCTTGGGTGACACAGACTGTCCCAGGGGATCTGCCTACTGTGCTTCATTAAACACCCAGGTGGTATGTCCAGGAACCTGCCTTCCATTTGGTGGTCTATGCATATCTGCACAGCTGCTCCCAGTGCACCAGTACACCAAGAAGCTGGCTAGTTCGTTTCTCCAGGGAAACATTGCAGCTTCTGTGGAGTATCCACCCCCAGATGGAGTGTCTGTTTCTCATACCCCAGAGCCATTCATTTGACTTTTTATGAGTCAGAAATCCAGAAGCCCGGGTGTGGAAACCATTCCCAAGGGCTGAGCGCAGTGACTCATGGGTGCAGGGTGAATAGAAGTGCACAAGAGGCTCTGGAGGGTCCCAGAGGACCATGAGCTGGTGGAAAAGCAGTTGTCAAACCAGTTTGAAAACCAAGGGATCTAAGCAAAACGTGGGCGGTGGAAGCAGGAATACAGTAAGGAGACAGGTGGACAACTCTCCCGAAATCCAGCCTTGCTTAGGGCATTATTTTGTGCCCTAAATTTAGCCATACAAGCCTAGGGCGGACCATGAGTCCATACAGTACAATTATTTATCATTAGAAAAAGTATAAGAGGGGTTTGGATGGAGACTGATCGGCTAATATTTTCCAACTTCCTTAAGGACAAAAAATTATAGGAAGGGGGGTTATAGCAAGAGGGTATCTAGGCTACACCCAGACAGAACTTTATGAATATGAGACTAGGAATGAAGAAAAGGAAGAGAAGTTTAAGGGGGTCAGACAGAGGGAAGGGAAGGCATTTGCCCCCAATAAAGGGAAAGGATCTGAGTGGATCCCACTGCCCTGTGGCCTTCAGGAGATCCTAGGAGCAGAGAGCAAAAGGAACATAGTTGCCTCTTGCTGAATACCTGTGTCTTGTCAGATGACCTGTTTGGGGTGTGATGGGAGATGTACTCCCAGCTTCTATTGAAAGCCGGAGTCCACCACCAAAGCAGCTTCTTTCCTCTGCTCTGGGCCTGGACCTGCTTACAGAGGAGGAAGAAGGAACCCAGCTAGAAATATCCCCAGCTTTTTTCTCATTTGATAATTGTTTCCCTGGTGGAGAGAGAAGGGGTTCCATGCCTTCAGTTTGAAAGCCCCTGAGTCACTTGTGTGAATGTGAAATCCTGGGATAGGTGTCAGAGGATCTGAACTCAAGTACTGGTTCTGTTGCTCACTTAGGATCCTTTGGCAAGACACTGCTTGCTCCCCTGAGACTTACTTTCCTCCTCTTTACCATGGAATTATCAACACCTGTCCTGCCTATGTTCTTGCAAGGTTACAGTGAAATTCAGAGGTACAAAACCCTTAAAAGCTCTATATTAGTCAAGGCTCAGGACTCAGTTCATTGGGCAGTGTGCTGGAGAATCTCTCTCTCTCTCTCTCTCTCTCTCTCTCTCTCTCTCTCCCCCCCTTCCTCTCTCTCTGTCTCAAATAAATAAATCTGAAAAATTCTTGGTCTCAGTTTTGCTCCTGCAGTTCTTTGATATGGAGGGTGTCCCAGCCACTCTGTAGACATAAGACTCAGAGCTGCCCTTCCAAGACTTTACTAACAAAGTTCTGTTCCTGCAATAAAGCTCTGTGACTATAGCAAGAAAATTTTTATGCTATAAAGTTTTTAATGGGGGCAACTGTCATAAAGCTTTCCCAAGACATCTCATCTATTTGTTTTAAGATTTTATTTATTTATTCATGAGAGATACAGAGGAGAGGCAGAGACATAGGCAGAGGGAGGAGAAGCAGGCTCCATGCAGGAGCCCGACGCAAGACTTGATCTCGGAATTCCAGGATCACGTCCTGAGCCGAAGGCAGAAGCTCAACTGCTGAGCCACCCAGGCGTCCCAGGC